CGTCTTGGGCTCGGATAAGAAACACAACCCTTCTTCGGAGGCATCACCTTCACGTGGATTTTCGCCAGGATGGAAGTCCCGTTCCGATCTCGCCTTCAACTTCTTCGAATCCCCTTGTCCCTCGCAGAAGTGGGGCTAAATATATTCTTAATAAATAGAATATATATAAAACCTGTTCTTTTCTTGTATGACGATAACCATCATATCGATTCTTATAAAGTCACTTTAGATCTACTAGTGTCGTACAAACTTGTCTTCAAACCTTTCGATGAAATTTTTAATAGAATGCTTAATTTTGCCTCTAAATATACATATATATGAAATATCCGTATATATAAATGTATGTGAATACAAATAAGGTAATTCATTTTGAGCTCACTTGCAACAACTAACGAAGTGAAAAAACAATTTATCTGCCAATATCTCCTTATATCATACAAATCTGTATATCATTGCAAAGCTTCGTTTCACATTTCTTCTCAAGCACTTAATTATGAACGAGGACAGATACACGGTATCATGTCCAGTCCTGGAATTAGGCATCCACAATCAATCACGCCAACATACCATATTTGTGATTTCCTTTTTACTATTTTACATTTTATGAATGAATACCTTTGGCTGCCCCCTACCACTCCCTCTCACTAAAGACAAGCGGTTTACGGAATTAGTCATATTTATATCGCGGTTTCATGTTCCATTAATTACGTCTGTAACATCTGATAATCCTGATAAGAAAGGTGATTTCATGCTTGATAACGAATAGTGATGCTAGCGTCCTTATACTAAAATAATGTGAGTCAAGGCAACTACAGTGCTTTATATAGATGGATTCGCCGTTGGGCTGCACAGTCGTGTCCACAAGAGCTTCACGTACAGATCTACCTGACGAAAGGCGGACGTTTCAGAGGACAACCTTATCACTGCTTCGTGTAGTTGTTCACGGACTCGTTCCTGAACACAAGAGATGGAAAGAAGCGGAGTGACACTTCAGCGCCGTGAACACCTGTCTGGAAAACTTGAAGAAACTAGCGTTAGGAAAAGAAAATCCAACTGAAGTGAAAATGGGTCGCAAGATCGGAGAAATTTCTGTGGAGGTGATCGACCTGGTGAAGGAGAGAGAAGGAAAGAAAGAAGAGGAAAGGGAAGGCGTGAAAACCTCCTGTTGCCTTGAACAAGTCACTTCAACCTTTAATGATACCACTGACACTCGCAAGCCCTCTGGTGGCAAGAGATGTAAGTATTTTCAAACAGGGAATAGAGTGAATGCATGCAGCCATATGTGTTTCACATTCCTCTCTTTGCATCTTGAACCATCTAAATCCAATATTATTTAGTATATTACAACCAATATGCAAATAATTAATTGCATAACTTAACCAATATGTAGAGAGTGCCATTACCTAAGATTCGAAAAACAATATTGGGTATTTACTCTTTGTTATTGAAAACAATGCCGGTCGTTTTCTTCCCGACAGAATTTCCATCAACACGCGTAAAGGACAAAACCTCGACAGCAGCTTCGTTCAGACTGTGTGACGCGCCTGTCTTGGCCCCCTTCCACTCTGCCACGACGACGCAGCGGTGGAATCCAACTCCGACGACGTGGCTTCGGAGAGCGAGTTGGAGGACGGCTTCTCTGCTGTGCCGGCCAACACAGCCACCGTCAGAGGTCTGCCATGGCCATCCCTTGCTTAGTTGATAGGCCTATGGTGGCCATTAATTTGATGACAAAGGCATGCCGATCAAGAGTATGGCCAGCGATAGAGGAGTCGAAACATGAACTTAAATCTATTGAAGCATGTAACCCAAAATAAAGCATAGCTGTTTCAATAAATATAAATACTCGATACAAGTTTATTCATCTCATTACCTTTAGCTATCAATTTTGGAATCAGATTGAAGGATAACAATGGGATGGCATACATATGATAATGATATTAATACCAAGGAAGATAATAACAATAAAAGTGATAACAATGTAATGATGATAGCAAGAATAATAGCAACGATAAATATTTTGCTAATGACAAGAAAACTAGTTATTAAACTTAATAAAAATATATATAATAATGATAAAAAAGTTAATGGTATTATCACCTGTTATTTCCGGCTTATAGCTCAGGAGCTGGTAAGTTTATTATACTCTTTTGTGTCTTGTGACTAGATTCAAAGTATAAGCTACCTTTGCTATGTATGTCTGCCAGCTTAATGATAGTGATAATGATATTACAAGAGTAATAAGGATAGTCACAGTAACAATAATGATAACTATAATGATTATAATGACAATAATAGTTCGTTGATCATAACAATAAGATATTGAATAATAATGATGATTATAATAATAATGATGATAAAATTACAATAATCATAATCATTATTACTATCATTATCATTAAAATAACTATAATGTTAGTGATGACAACAACAATAATGATCAATAACATTAACAAATAGCAATAATATTACCATTTAGGTCATGTTTGCCTCTGAGAAC